AATAGCGTGGAAGGAGCAACAAGTTGCAGCAGGGAGAAGTGTCCTGCTGCACAGCTTAAAGGGCTGACAGCCAGGCTACTTTTTTAATTAATATAATAAATATTGAATTTGGAAAATATTACAAACATGCAAAATAAAAACTGCATCATAAAATGGTATGCATTAGAAATATGAAATGTGAATGTTGCAACAAATGTTGGGAGATTATAAACAGAATTTAAAAAGAAAGATGGCTGAAGAGTAAATGAGTAAGACTGTTCCCAAGAAAAAAAGGAATATAAAAATTGAAAGTAATGTACAAAAATGTCATCCGGTATTGAGAGATAATTGATTGGAGAAAGACAATAGTCTCACAGCCTGAAATGCATTAGTGTTGTAGAAAATGGAAAATTTAATCAGATATTTACCATAATTTCCCTTTCCTGGTGCCAATCCATGGCAGCCTACATGTAGTAGTAGCCCTGCCTACTTCCACCCACTAGGCTAGTACATGGCTATAAGGATTTCATTCCCACACAAGAGCCTATTCCCTGTACATCACAAGGACTCAATTGGGGGTTCAGTATGCTGCCATGAATTGGCCTCAGGAAAGGAGAATTCCGCTAAGTATTTGATACAATTTTCTGTTTTCCCTGGTGCCAACATGGCTGCATACATGTAGTAGACTAGGAGCTAGTTAGCAGGGTGGGAAGCTTAAGCAAAAGAAAGTGAGTAAGCTGCTGCCTTTCTGTGAAAGTCAGCTGTAGTGTGGACTACTGAGCCCATCCGTAGTGCTGGAGGAACACACCATAAAAGTAGCTGTTTGGCTGTCCTGCTTATCATGTTGGTTGACATCTCTGTAAATTATCCATGATGGTCAGATGCTGCTGGTCGAATATGCAGCAAATCCTTTCGGTGGCTTCAGCCCAGTCATAGAGTGGCTCTTTAAATTAACTTTAGGAACTGCAAAGTGACTGCGCGCTGACACATTCTACCCTTGTTGGTTTCAAAGGAACTAGGTATAGCTGTTCTGGTTACCTAAACAATTGTTGTTTGGAAGTGTGTTCTCCCCAATCTAGCTCTATTGATGGTGTACTTAAAGTGATTCTTACATTTGTTTCTAAAAATAACAAACATGTCTATACTTATCTGCTTGTGCAGTGGTTTTGCACAGAGCAGCCCAGATCCTCCTCTTCTTGGGCCCCCCGCAGGCTCTCCTGGCCCCTCGCTCCTGTCGGGTGCCCCCCACCAGCAAGCAGCTTACTATGGGTGCACCTGCTGTTTCATGTGTCCATTCACACACGGAGCTGCGGCTAGGCTCTGCCCCCTCTCTTCTCATTGGCTCACTGGCTGTAATTGACAGCTGCGGGAGCCAATGGCTCACACTTCTATCTCAGCCAATGAGGGGAAGGGAGTCCTGGGATAGCCGAGACTCCAGTGCACATCGCTGGATCAAGAGAGGGCTTAGGAGAGTAATGGGGGGGGGGGGCTGGGGGGCTCCTGCACAGAGTTTTTTTTTACCTTCATGCATAGAATGGATGAAGGTAAAAAACCTTGAGCCTTTACAACCACTTTAACCTAAGGCTAGTCAAAGCAATCCTACTGTGGGATAGGCAAACACCCACCAGACTCGTGATGCAACACCAGCAAAGCGGTGAACTGCTTGCAGCTAAAAGAGCCTTCCTGAACATTCTTATGCCAGAAGCTGGCTTCAGATGAGGCTGAATGTCCATCTGGTAGGAAAGCAACTGAGCACCATCCACAATACCCTCCCCATCAGCATCCAAATCAACAGAACAAGACCCCTTCCTTTAAGGGTGCAAACCTGGAAAGCATGTCCTGAAAACCAGCATGCCAGCACAAAATGCACTATGGGTAGCACCCAACTGCTCCTGTTACAAGTTCACTAATATGACTACAATCACCTCAAGCCCCTAGAACATTGGTCACTAAATGGCGGACTGCGGTCTGTGAACGGACCCAGCAGTGTTGCTGCTCGGACCGCCAGCCTGCAATGACAGATCCACCGCTGAGTGGGGCGGTAGTCATGGCAACATGACATCACGTGTGCACCCCGCCCCTTTCACCTCACTGTCATTCCGACTCCTGCTCCCTGCCTGTACACAACCATCCAGCAACGATCCCGACGCAGCTCCTGTCTGCCCTCAAGGTAGGGTGTAGTCTTACCTGATGTGATGGGAATACATGATGTAAAGTTGCACTCTGATGGCGACACCTAATGTAAGGGGGCACACTGATTTTAGTGACCAGACCTCCTTGAATTTTAATTCATTAGCCCTACAACATAGAGAAAGTGAGGATAGTAGGGGCAGCCTTACAGATCTGAAAAACAGTCAATGCTCAGGAAACGCTCATAAATTTACTAAAGTGCATCTTGTCAGGAAGGGATGGAACCTAAACCCTAGACCATGGGGTTGGATAATGGTCTGCTGAATCAACTCAACATAGTGGAATTAGAAATTGCAGCAACATTACAGGGACCATCTTGAGAAAAAAAAAAAGAAAAGGAAAATAGAGGCTGAGAAGAGACTCTCTATCCCGACCACATCCTACCAATAGACTTCCTTTGAGTCAGTGTTTCTCAATTCCAGTCCTCATGGACCCCCAACAGGTCATGTTTTCAGGATTTCCATTATTTTGCACAGGTGATTTGATCAGTTTCACTGCCTTAGTAATTACCACAGCTGTTTCATCTGAGGGAAATCCTGAAAACATGACCTGTTGGGGGTCCATGAGGACTGGAGTTGAGAAACACTGCTTTGAGTGAACTGGGGGCAGACTGAAGAACTGGATAAGGATGTTTCATAATACAGAAGAACTTGGTTTCAACAACTTTGTCTTCTGCAAAAACCTGGGAAGGGTTTCATGCCAGACAAGGCCACCAGTCCAAACACTTTCCTCTTTATGCGAAGGCCACAAGTGAACTACTTTTTATCCAAAAAAATCTCAAGGGCAGCAACATTGAGAGCCCTAATAGTGCTGAAATACCTTCAATAAAATGGAGTGTCAAGGGCAGCAACACTGACAGCCCTAATAATGCTAAGAGGCACACATCGACCTAGGCCCAGCTGAAGGAGAGGACTTGTCACACAAAGAAACTCCTGAGGAGGAAGTCCTGGAGCCTAAACTAAGAAAAGTACACATAATATTTCCAGCAATAGGATGAACAAAAAGTAAACCTCCCAGCTTAGCATCAAGGGATTCCTAAACTCCATGATGCCCATCTCTTAGAACTTGGGCTTCAATCATCAAGCTGTTAAAGGCAGCTTGAAGCTGGATGGCAAAAAAAAACATTCCTTGGGAACAAATGATCCTGATCCAGTAGATTCCTCTAAGCAACTCTCCAGCATCCCTTTAGGTTGGAGTACCACATCTGCCTTGGTCAGCTGGGAATAATGAGGAACACAAGAATGCCTTCTATCCTAAACATGCATGACAAGCGGGGGAAGAAATAGGTCAGGAAGTACTGATCCCATGGAGTCACTAGGGCATCCACTACATTTACCATAGGACCACTGCACCTGAGGTTAAACTATCTTGCCTTCAGTTTGACCTGATTGCCAGGTAGTCAACCTCTTAAGTTGGCTACCGGTGACATACTTCCAGGAATAATTTCAGGGATAGAAATCACTCTCTTGATAGAAATCACTCTCGTGTTTAGGCGCTGCTGTCTGATGCAGCCTGCCTGCCACTGTGTATGTCTGGAATGGTCATGCCTGACATTTTGTCAAGGATACCAATGTGTCTACAGTCATAGTCAAAAATATTGGCACCCTGCATTTCTGTCAGATAATGCATCACTTCCTGAGAAAATTGCTGCAATTATAAATGTTTAGGCATTCTCATGTTTATTTCTTTTGTTTGTATTGGTATGACACTACAGAGTGGAGAATCAAAAAGCCAAATCTGACACATTCCACGCAAAAACCCAAAAATGAATGGACAAAATTATCCCTCAATTTAATATTTAGTAGCACAATCCTTAGAAAAAAATAACTGAAATTAATCACTTCCTGTCACCATCAATGAGTTTCTTATTCCTCTCTACTGGAATTTTGCACCACTCTTCTTTTGCTTGCTCCAGGTCTCTCAGATTGGAAGGGTTTCTTTTCCCAACTGTTGTTTTGAGATCTTATCACAGGTGCTCTATGGGATTGAGATCTGGACTCACTGCTGGCCACTTCAGTACTCTCCAGTGCTTTAACTGGGTGCTTTTTGACATGTGCTTTGGTTCGTTTTCCTCTCTTAAGACCCATGACCTCTGACAGAGACCCAGCTTTCTGACACTGGGCCCTACATTGAACCCAGAATTCTTTGGTAGTCTTCAGATTTCATTATGCCATGCACACGGTCAAGACATCCAGTGCCTGAAGCCGCAAAGCAACCCCAAAATATCAGTGAACCTCCACCATTTTTGACTGTAGGGACTGTACTACAATTCTTGGCAAAAAGTATGTAATCACCACTCTTGGAAAATGTTAATTAAATTGTTTAACCACTTGCCTACTGGGCACTTATAAACCCTTCCAATTTTCAGCTTTCAGTGCTGTCGCACTTTGAATGACAATTGCGCGGTCATGCAAGATTGTACCCATGTGAAATTTTTATCATTTTTTTCTCATAAATAGAGCTTTCTTTTGGTGGTATTTAATCGCCGCTGGGTGTTTTACTTTTTGCGCTATAAACAAAAAAAATGCAAAAATGTTGAAAAAAAAAAAAGTTTCTTTGTTTCTATTATAAAATTTTGCAAACAGGTAAATTTTCTCCTTCACTGATGTGCGTTGATGCAGCAGTGATGGGGCACTGATAGGCGGCACTGATAGGCAGCACTGAAGGGCACTGATAGGCGGCACTAATGAGCTGGCACGGATATGCAGCACTGATGATGGGTACTGATAGTCAGCACTGATAGGCGGCACTAACTGGCAGCACTGCTGGGCATTGACTGGCGCCACTGCTGGGCATTGACTGGCGCAACTGCTGGGCACTAACTGGCAGCACTGCTGGGTTGCACTGATGGGTGGCACTGCTGGGCACAAGTGGGTGGCACTGCTGGGCACAGATGGGTGGCACTGGTGGGTGGTACAGGTGGGTGGCACTGCTGGGCACAGGTGGGTGGCACTGCTGGGCACAGGTGGGTGGCACTGCTGAGCACAGGTGGGCAGAGCTAGTGGGTGGCACTGCTGGGCACCGATCATCAGGGCACTGATCATCAGTGCCCTGATGATCAGTGCCGATCCCTACTCTGACAACTGCCGGTTCTCGGCAGTACTTTCCCCATGTTCTGACAGCGTGAGGAAAGTGCATCCGAGAACCGGCAATTGCATTTCCCTCTGATCAGTGTGTCATTGGACATGGCTGATCACATGGTAAAAGGACGCTGTGATTGGCCTTTTTTTGGCCATATGACGCCCTCCCAGAACTGGCCGGCCGCAGTTCAGCCGTCATTCGGCTATCTGCGGTCAGCAACTGGTTAATTGTTTAGAAAAAAAAAACAATCACAGACATGCCTCAAACCTTTTTTTATTTAACCACTTGCCCTCCTGAGGATTTACCCCTCTTCCTGACCAGGCCATTTTTTGCATTTCGGTGCTGCATTACTTTAATTGACAATTGCACGGTCATGCAACGCTGCACCCAAATTAAATTTACATCCTTTTTTTCCCCACGAATTGAGCTGTGTGTTTTTTATTTTCTGCGCTATAAAAAAAAGATCGACAATTTTGAGGGAAAAAAAAACAATATTTTTGACTTTTTGTTATTAATCATGTCCAGTAAAAAGATTTAAAAAAAATCAAATTTCATCAGAAATTTAGTGTCAGAATGCCCGCTGCAGTCCCGCTATAAGTTGTTGTTCGCCGCCATTACTAGTATAAAAAAATAAAAAATCTTAGTATATATACCGCCATTTGTAAAAGCTATAACTTTCACGTAAACCAATTAATTTACACATATTGGGATATTTTTTTAGCAAAGACATGTAGCAGAATACATTTTATTTGGTGTCAGTCCAATGAAATGTATAAAGACGACTGCCTGAAAAAAAAACATGCAAATTTCCACAAAACATTGATGATATGAGGTTGCATGTCAGGTAAAGGTACGGGGGAGATGACAGTCATTAAATCTTCAATAAATGCACAAGTTGATATTGAGATTTTGGACACTTTTCTTATTCCATCAGTTGAAAGGATGTTTGGTGAGGACATATTTTTTTAGGATGATAATGCATCTTGCCATAGGGCCAAAGCCTTGAAAACTTTCCTTCAAGAAAGACATATGGTATAATGTCAATGGCATGGCCTGCAAATAGTCCAGACCTCAATCCAATTGAAAATCTATGGTGGAAATTAAAGAAAATGGTCCATGACAAGGCTCCAACCTGCAAAGCTGATCTGGCAACTGCAGTAAGAGAAAGCTGGAGCCGGATTGATGAAGAATACGGTTTGTCAATAATTAAATCCATGCATCAGAGAATTCAAGCTGTTATAAAAGCCAGAGGTGGTGCAACATAGTACTAGTGGTGTACTGGAGTGTTTTTTTTCATAATTCCATACTTTTTTCCTCAGAATTGAGTGATTCTATATTCTTTTCCCCTGGTTGCTCTGCAAAAACAGTTTCAACTAACTACAGTTTTCTTACTTTTTTAGTTTTGAGGAATGTCTATGATTATTTTTTTTTCTACACAATTAAACAATTGAATGAACATTTTCCAAGAGTGGTGATTCCATACTTTTTGCCAGGGGTTGTATGTTCATTAACCACTTCCAGTCCGGACACTTTTACCTCCCTTCCTGTCCAGGGCAATTTTCAGCTTTTAGCGCTATCACACTTTGAATGACAATTGCGCGGTCATGCAACACTGTACCCAAATTAATTTTTTTACCATTTTTTTTAGACGGATAAAGCTTTATTTTGGTGGTATTTATTCACCACTGGGATTTGTATTGTTTTTGCTATTTAAATGAAATGTCCAAAAATTTTGAAAAAAAGTGTTTTTTTTTTAATAAAATTTTGCAAATAAATAATATTTCATCATAAATCTTAGCCAAAATTTATTCCGTTATCTTTTTAGTAAAAAAAAAAATCCAAATTAGTTTATAAGCAAAAATTATAATTTTTAAACATTTTTTTTTTTACATTTTTTTTATTTTATTTTTTTATATTATTATTTTTTTTTTTTTTTTTTTACATACTGTCACCCTAGCAGTACAGTGTCACCATGGTGACACTGTACTACTTGTGGGGGGTGATGAAGATTTTTTTTTTTTTTTTTACACTGATTGCTTTTACACCCATATAGGATGTAAAAGCAATCATTTCTCTTTCTCTCTGTGCATTCTTGCACTCATTGAGAAGAACTGAGTGAGCTGTGATTGGTCACAGCTTGTCACATGGTACAAGGCTTTTGTGAATAGCCTTGTACCATGTGACCTCTGTGATCATTCACAGATTTCACACGTGACATCTTGCTTACTACTTTGCATGTGATCACTGATTGGCCAATCAGTGATCACATGATCGGGACCTCGTACAGAGGTCCCGTCCGATGATCGGTGTTTCACTGTGTCCGGAGGACACAGCGGGCACCGGATCGCGGTGCTGCGCGCTCCCAGGGAGCGCGCACAAGCAGGGTGCGGGGAGGCCGTTTATAGACAGCCACCCGACCCTGCAGTGCCACCGTCCGGCCGTTTATATACAACGGCCAGACGGGAGGTGGTTAATGGCCTTGTTGCTTTCCCTGACAATGGCATTATAATGGGCTTTACCAAAAAGCTGTAATTTTGTTTCCTCGGTCCACAGATTTTGGCTTCTTCAGGTAATTTTTGGTAAACTCCAATATGGCTTTTTTTATGTTTCTGTGGCAGCAGTTCAGTCCTCCTTGGTCAACTACCATATCATTCCTTTTCATTCAGATGGTCACGTATAGTGCAAGCTGACACAGTTGTACTCTATGTCTGAAGGTCAGCTTGAATTTGTCTGGAAGCTGATCGAGCTTCTTTATCCACCATTCAAACAATCCTTCATTGAAATCTTTGATCAATTTTTCTCTTTCGTCCACATCCAGGGAGATTAGCTACAATGCCATGGGCTGTAAACTTCTTGACAATGTTGCGCACAGTGGACACAGGAACATAAAGATCTCTGGAGATGCACTTGTAACCTTGAGTTTGTCCATGCTTTTCCACAGTTTTTTTCTCAAATCCTCAGACAAAGCTTTGCTGCTCTTTCTCTTCTCCATGCTCAATGTGGCACACAGAGACACACAACAGATAGGCTGAGTAAATTATTGCCCATTTTAACTGGTTGCTGGTGTGTCTCCTATATTGTCAGCACCTGTTAATTGATACAAGTGAGTTTAATTACAAATAATAGGAGCATCACAAACTTGGAATGCAATTATTTCGTACAATTTTGAGAAGGTGCCAATAATGTTGTCCAGTCCATTTTTGGCTTTTTGTTTCTCCACTTTTTTGTGTCATACCAATACTAACAAAAGAAATAAACAAGAGAATGCCTAAACATTTGTAATTGCAATAATTTTGTGGGCGATGGATCCTATGACAAGGCACAGAAATTGCTGAAGGATGGAGGCATTAGTTCTGTTTGAAGCCTGCAAAAGCCAGAAAGTTTCCCAGGTGAAGGGAAGCAATGCAAATTTCTATGGAAAACTTGCATCTAAATCTAATTCTTTAGAGCTTCAAGATGCAGAACAGGTAATGCCAAGCATGAGCTAATGCTGTTGTCTTGGGCTGCCTCAAAGAGACACTCTCCCTGGAAGTCCATGCAGGCTCCTTCTTCTGAGTGAGGAAATGTTGTAGCAGGTTTCTTACCTAGAGCCTCCTCTGGTTTCTTACCTGGCTCCTCTGTTTTTTCTCCACTCATGGTAAACTTACTTAAAGAAAAATGGCCAGCAGGGGCAAAGCCTTAGGATAAACATAAAGTACCAGTTTATCCTTTCTGTTCTTCCTTGCTAGCAGAAGCTGGCCTGCTCTCTGCTGTGGGAGGCTATATGCAGTTGGTAGCAACGTACTTGAATGCAATAACTTGGCTAAACTACGGTAACTTCACCCAGGGCTCACAGAAATCCTTTGTGGCTATGAATAGTGGGCAGGGGAGTTTCTGTCTACCATTTTAGGGCAGTCTTGACACACTCTTTGTCTTATGGAGGCAGCTTCGCTTGGGGTTGCAGCAATTCTTTTCGGCTATGAACATAGGGCAGGAGAGCTTCTGTCTACATCTTTAAAGTGGTTGTAAAGGCTAAAGGTTATATACCTTCATGCATTCTATGCATGAAGGTAAAATAACTTCTGTGTGCAGCTCCCCCCCTACCACCTGAGCCCCATCATGATCCAGCAATGTGCATGCTGGATGATGCACAACCTTGGCTGTCTGGGGACTCTCCCTCCTCATTGGCTGAGACAGCATTGGGAGCCATTGGCTCCTGCTGCTGTCAATCACAGCCAGTGAGGAGAGCGAGGGGGCCAAGCCGTGGATCTGTGTGTAAATGGACACGCAGAGCAGTGGCTTGGAAGGGAGCCTACTTGGGTACCCCCATAGCTAGCTGCTTGTTCTGGGGGCACTCAGAAGGGAGGAGGATCCAGGAGCGCTGGAAGGGGACCAAGAAAAGGATAATCAGGGCTGCTCTGTGCAAAACCAGTGCACAAAGCTGGTAAGAACATTTTTTTTAAAGGAAAATTGCCTGTAATATCACTTTAAGGCTGTCTTGACGCATTCTTTATCTTGTAAAGGCAACTTCTCCCAGGGCCACAGCAGTTCTTTGCAGCTATGAATAGTGGACAGAAGGGCTTCTGTCTACCTTTTTAAAGCAATCTTAACCCATAATATACCTTGTAAAGGTGGCTTCACCCAGGATTCACAGCAGTTCTTTGTAGCTAATCTTAATGGACAAGAGAGGTTCTGCCTGCCTCTTTAAGGCGGTCCTGACACACTCTTCAGGCCATAGTGCTGGAGTTTGCAGTATGGAAGAGGATTTTCTATACCTCAGACTGGATTTTTGGTGCTCCTCTCGTGTATTCCTGTCAGTGAAACCCTTAACTGAGGGAGAGGCCTGTTAGTGGAAACAGAAACAACGCCTCCTGCGCTCAGTGACTCCGATCAAGGGTGGATGGATGGAAAAAAACTTGTGGAAGTTCGTCCACCAGTGGATCCAAGGTTGTTCAGCTCTAAACAAGGCCGGGGAAGCCCGACCAGTACTGCAAAGTAAAACAGAACAAAAAGAAA